TCCCCCTGCGCAGATAGCCCGTCGCTGGGGAGCGGCGGAAGAAATGCAGCTCCTGCCGTTACTGCTTCTTGTAGCAACAGCAACGACGACAACTCCTGGGGAGAGGTTTTAGTGACCAGCCAAGGGGATAAAAACTGCTCCGAAGATTTATCTTGTGATTCGTAACTGCCGCAATTGTCTTGTGTGTCTTGACACCACATTTGTTCGCCTACGTGTTTGTTGCAGCACTATGGCTAATACAAAGACAGAAGATGAAATTGCCCTCTTTGAAAGAGAAACAAAGGAGTTTTGGACCAAACTGAAAAGCCTTTATGGCACTGAACAAATCAATCAGACTTTAGCACTGAGAGATTCATGCAAGGAGTCCATAAAAATGCTTTCAGGTAAAAAGGCTCTATGTTCCTGTTACCTCTACTTTTTCCAAGTTATCATCAAACTTCTTCGATAACTGGAATAACTTTCTATTCCAGAGAAATGGTCCAAGAAGCTGAAAGAAGGGGACATGATGATTGATAAAATTCAGGAGTATAGCAATGGTACAGTATGGTGTTTTATTTATCGTGTCTAGTGTTTCTAAAATTAACTTAATACAGCTGAACAATGTTTAACTTCCCATTTTAAAAGGTAAACAAGAACATCAGAATGAAGATAGAATTAAAACCAATAGTATTTGGTTGGTTATGATATGTAAATTGCAAGTCAAAAGCAATTTGTTGGAAAACTTCTTTGATGATGCAAAAAGATAAAGATCCGGTAAAAGTTTTCTGTAGAAGGGTTTTGGTGTTTAAGTATTCAAAACAACAAAGTACCAGAGATTGCTGGCTGCAATAGGAAAAATAAATGAAATTGATTACTGAAGTTAAATATTGTGAGGTTACTTATGCGTCTTCCGTATTAGTAACAGAATATAGTCAGCCTATCAGTGTAGGATTAACTTCTCCGAATTTTGTAGTTAAACTTCAGAATATCAAATAAAAATAATTGCCATCTAATATCAGTCAGTGTTTCGTTCCTTGCCTTCTGTCAGATCATTTGTCTGTGAACAGGATCCACCATCCTCCTGCTTTGAGGATGTATATAGTTCTGGCACCAAAACCAGTTTGCATCTGAATGACGTATCAGAGGAGCTCCCTACTTAGTAGCTTCTGTTTTGAATAACTTTGTGCTTTTACTTGATGCTTTTAGAATAGTTATGCTGACTTCCCTTTTCAGCTGAGAAAGCATACATTTCACTAGGTTTTTTTTTTTTTCAAATGAACTCAAACTACACAGATAAGTACTGAATAGTGTAGACCTAATTAATCAACTACACATGTTTGTATTTTCTTGCCTCATTTCAGAGATTCTTGAGCAGAGCCAACGCATATCAGAAAATCAAGAGCGTTTGACAGAAATAAAATCTAATCTAAATCAAGAAGAAGAGCAAAAGAAGGACTTGACTGACAGGATCCAAGAGCTTAAAGAAGAGTTGATGAAGAAAAAGGAATGTAAGTAAGCCAAGGATAATAAGTAGATTTTCTTAGTTAGAGGAGGAATTGTTTTCAACACTCGCTTTTGATGGGCTTTTCTACTGTTGCATTTTTTTATGTGCTTGTTTTACCTTTACTTTGATATTCACGGTGGCTTTTAAAATTCTAGTAATATCTTCTAAAAACAAAGCCAGTAAGGAGAGAGTGGAACGACTATGCAAGTCTAAAGTATTATTTGAAGAGCGGCTTGGACTGGAGATACGCAGAATTCACGGTAAGTTTCTGTAGTGTTCATGTGCAGTGATGCAACGTGGTGAATGTTGGATTGTGCAGTAAAGAACATACTAGCTTGCACAACTGAAGAATTGCCCCAGCCCACGTATTACCATTATCTCTCAAATGGCACAATATGGTACGTTAAAATGCATTTGTCTTTCAGAGACCAGGTTTGCTTAACTTGTAAGTATTCTAAGAATATTATGTGAAACTGTAGCTTAACGTTGTGATTGTTAGTCATCACTGTGACTCTCCAGCAGAGGTTAATGGCGTTAATTAATTCTGTTTGTGCTTCCTTTAGATGAACAGTTACAGTTTATATTCAGACACATTGACCACAAAGATCCTGACAAGCCATATGTGTTTACCCTTTCCATAAATGAACAGGGAGAGTATGAAGGTATGTGAATGCTGAATACTTAAGCAAGAGGACAGAATCTGATGCCCCTATTTAAAAAAAGGGGGAGAGGAGTAAAGTACAGTTTAATTTTAACCTTTATCTTCCAATTTCTGAATGAAAAATATTGAAATGGTAATATTTTTTTAATGAAGCTTCTCTTGTTAATTTATGGGAAAATAGAACTGTGTTATCTTCACCTCCTTCCATTTCTGGAGCTGCTGTGTACTCGGTACTGAGCAAAGCAGGAGAGAAAAGAGATACACAGGCATAGATAAATGCTTCAGCGTGTGGTTTGTTGCTTCTTCCCTTTATGCTAGAGTGAGTGCTTATGCTGCCAGGCATGTTTCAACCTGTTTGAGAGGCCTAGAGGGCAGAAAAAAACGAGGTTCCCCACTACACAGGGAACCTTTCCTATGAGGACAGGCTGAAAGAGTTGGGGCTGTTCAGCCTGGAGAAGAGGAGGCTCCGGGGTGACCTTATAGCAGTCTTCCAGTACCTCAAGGGGGCCTACAAGAAAGATGGGGAGAGGCTGTTCAGGAGGGCCAGTTGTGATAGGACAAGGGGTAATGGTTTTAAAATAGAGGGAGGTAGATTCAGATTGGATATTAGGAAAAAATTTTTTACCATGAGAGTTGTAGAACACTGGAACAGGTTGCCCAGAGAGGTGGTGGATGCTCCATCCCTGGAGACGTTCAAGGCCCGGTTGGATGAGGCCCTGAGCAACCTGATCTAGTTGGAGATATCCCTGTTCCTTGCAGGGGGGTTGGACTAGATGGCCTTTGAAGGCCCCTTCCAGCCCTAACGATTCTATGTTTCTAACCCTTACAGTTGTGTGACGTAGGAGAAAAATTAAAACTTGAAATCCAGCATTCCTCTTCTGCAAGGGTACAACCTTTCAGATCTTAAAGCTGTTTTTGCAGTACAGATCTTACTTCACTTACAAAGAACAGCAGTGGTAATTTGAGCACTGTACTGTGTAGCTTCCAGACGGATGCTCCTGTTGCTCCACTATGCCTCTAGATGTGGACTGAATAGATTTCTGTTTTCACTAATTCAAATCTAAACTGTGCTGAAGTTAAAAGTTTATCACATGCTGGGCTACATCAGTTTTCAGTCTGCTAACCTGCAGAGCAACAAAAATGTTTAGGAATGTGTTTCAGTTTTTGAGAAGGCTATGGATTACTAGAAATTGCTGTAACAATTCAAGCAGGAGCACAGTGCTGAGTTGGAGGTCTGGAAATAAAAAAAATGTGAGTTCTTTGAGGCTTTGTCTTTGCTGAAAGAAAATGATTTAATAGGTTACTCAAAAATAATGCTGGATAAAACTAAAACATAAAAAGACAAGAAACTACATGTGTATTTCATAAGCATGGAAAAACACTTTTTTTTTATGATAGTCTAATCTTTTGGAAATTTGTGTCATTTTAGTGACTTCCTGTACTCCTCCTCTGGACTGTATAGCAGAGTTCCAGCTCAAAGTGAGAGAAACTAACAATTTTTCTGCGTTTGTTGCCAACATCAGAAAAGCTTTCACTGCTTTATCTTATAAATAGTCTGCATAAAAACTAGCTTATACCTCCCTTTCTAGATGTAGAACACTTTTTCTTTCCTTCCTGTATTGTGAAAGTATGTATTTGTCCATATATTACTCTAATTTCCAAATAAAAATAATGAAAATAGTATTTTAGTCTGCTGTTGTGTAGAGACACTTTGGACGATTCTTCAAGCAACAGTATAATCAACTACCTTCCTTAAACGTATGTCTCCAGACATGTAAACTTTGATCCAGTAGCAAGTAACTGAATGATGTAATGATCTCTACTTAGCTACCCCAGAAAGATATTCAAAATAAAGTACTTTAGGTAATTTATGTCTCTCTTCCAAAAGCACGGAGTGTCTTTCAGGTTTGTATGTGGTTGTAATGTATGTTGTCTTGTACTCTCCAGTGTTGTCACTCACTTTCATACATGTAAATTTTTTTTCTTTTGGTCTGTTAAGCTGTATAGTTTACTACATAGTTCTCTGCCCGTTTCAGATTCTTGTCTGGATGCCTCTGTCTGGTTTTAGTAATGAGAGCAGTTTGAAGTGCATGCTGTTCTCAAATAAAGCTCTTAATAGGAGGAAGTGGGAACTTTGTATTGATTTGATCAGAAATCTTAGAGACCTGAAACAGAACCCTGCTGTAGCCCAGAGGTTCCTGGCTCCCACAACACCCAGCTGGGCAGAAAAGCTGGCATGAAACTTGAACTGCAGTGGTGAATGAGTAACACTCATTCATAAGATGACCAGCTTTAGTGTTTTTTATTGGGTATGTTTTAGAAGAGACTAGTCATTTTGCTTTATTAAAGCAGGTTCAGCGAAGGACTACTTATCGTTGTCATTGGAAATGTTAAGACGTGGCAAAGCCTGAAGTGTAATGTATTAAAGTATGAAATACAGTGGTTACAGATAAATCATCAGTGTATCTTGCAGCTTATCAGGAAGACTATAACTGCCACAGTACTTAGCTTTGATTAAAACTATTCTTTTTCTGTTATTTGTAAAGCCTTTTCCCAAAATATTTAATTGGACAGCTGCAATAAGAAAGAAAACTCTTCATTTGATAATACAACATAGTTCAAATAAAATCTTGCTAAACTGAGTCCTGGAATTTCTAGTGAAGTAAAAGACCACTTGAAGCAAAAACTAATGATCCCTGTCAAAGGATTAAAATGAAATGCAGCATAAAGAGTAGAAATATCCAACACTGAAAACCCTGTGAAAAAGTATTTAGAATTCCATGAAAATAACCCTTTAAAATATCTTTTTTGAAAAATGTTCTAAATTGTTTTTCAATATAAATAAAACTTCAGAATATTTCCTGTGAAGTGAAAATTCTTTATTTAAAATAACTGCCTGTCTCAAAGCACCTGTAAATGGAGGCCCCTGTCTTTCCTGTGAGGTGCTAGTTCAGTTAATTTCTTTAAATTTATACAGCATGTACCTACATCTGCCTTTCATTTTTTTATCAGGAGTAGGCTTTTGGAGTGAATCTCCTGATCCACACCACTTTGGTTCACATCTCAAATGCAAACTGTGTTCCTTTTTGAATGCAACTAAACTGGGAGATGCACACATCATGCGTTCCTGCTGTGAATGTTATGTAGTCCATAGGACAGACCAGAGCTGGTCCAAACCAGCATTTGGTGCAGATGCTGGTCTTCTTGTTTACTAACATAACTATGGCACCACTCACTGTTCTTGCCCCAACCTATAATCTTATGCTTGGGGAAAAAAACCCAAAACAAACCCCTCCCCCCATTTCTCCCTTCCACCTCCCCCCTCTTATTTCTATGCCTTCATCAGCTTCTTCATAGGTAAACCTGGCCATTTAGGCATGTTTAAAGCTGGTGATGCTGACAAGATACTCCTACTACAGTTTAAAATATTGCCCAGTCCGATGTGAACCATATTTTAAATCACTTGCTTTGGCTAAACTTAACAGTATAACTTGCTGGATACAGCACAGACTATGCACTCAATCTTCTGTGGTATAGCCAAAGTGCATCTTAACAAAAACCACTAACCCACGTTTGCACATGTTGGCTCCAAAAAAGAGATAACCTTCCAGTTCTTCTTCCCTATAGGACATGATTTGCTATTTTTTAAATAATGCATCATTTTCCTTGGTATGCCCGATTGATTTTTTTCCTTGTCCTACTGCCAGCTATACACAAAACAAGAGCAGTGAGGACGGTCAAAGTGCCAACTGATCACAGTTGTAGACCAGAATGGCAGCAGATCACTAGGCGTTTCTAGAATGACATCTCAAATGAAATACGTCCTCATCTCAGAGAGTCCCGTGTACTCTCTGAGAATTTTGTAACCGACAATGGGTCAAACAGAGGCACAGGCTGGGAGGCTGCCTTCAAGAACTGGGTCTAGTTCATGAGCAGATTTTGCCTCTTTTTCAACCCTACTACCAGGAATATTAAAATAGCAGGTATTTATTGCAATGAATTACTTCTATCACCAAACGGATGCTGTAGGCACTTTTATGTAGGTCAAAAGACTAGCCAGTACTTTTAAAAAATGCATTCAGCCAGCTCTGCACTTTTCACTTGTATCTTCTCTCCCAGGAGCTAGGAATACTGTATTATCCTGCTTTCATGGTATCTCTTCTCTTCCTTCCTTGTACAGAAGCCTTCTCCTTCCATGTTAGAAAATCTATGATAGAATCACAGAATGGTTTAGGCTGAAAGGGACCTTAAAGATAATCTAGTTCCAACCCTCCTCCCATGGGCAGGGACACTTTCCCCTACATCAGGTTGCTCAAAGCCTCAACCTACCTGGCCTTGAACACTTCCACGGATGGGGCATCCAAAACTTCTCTGGGCAACCCTCTTACATGCCCTTGTAAAAAGTCCCTCTCCAGCTTTCTTGTAAGCTTCCTTTAGGTACTGGAAGGCTGCTATAAAATCACCCCAGAGCCTTCTCTTCTCCAGGCTGAACAATCCTGACTCTCTCTGCCTCTCTTCATAGAAGAGGTGCTCCAGCCCTCAGATCATCTTTGTGGGCCTCCTCAGGACTCGCTCCAACAGGTCCATGTCATTCTTGTGCTGAGGTCCCCACAGCTAAATGCAGTACTCCAGGTGGGGTCTCATAAGAGCAGAGTAGAGGGGCAGAATCGCCTCCCTTGACCTGCTGGCCACGCTTCTTTTGATGCAGCCCAAGATATGGTTGGCTTTCTGGGCTGTAAGCGCACATTGCCGGCTCATGTTGAGCTTCTTATTGACCATCACCTCCAAGTCCTTCTCAGGGATGCTCTCAATCCATTCACTGCTTAGCCTGTATTTATGCTTGGGATTGCCCAACCCATGTGCAGGACCTTCTGGCTTCTCACTATTCGCATTACACCTATATCCAGAATGGCTATATTCATTTTGATGTGTACTGCTGCCCTTCTCCACCTGTCTGTGACAGGTAACTCTTAGTTGCTCTGGAAAGTAAGAACTTCAGGATCCTCAACCAAGTATTTTACAGCAGTTGTATGGAACCAAAAATACAGGCAGTATGCAGCCACCTCATTTCCATGTTTTCAGACGGAGCTGTTTATTCATTAAGGGCGTACGTATTGCTCAGATGTACTCCGTAGCACATCTGATTTGATCATCATCTTCACAAGCGAAAAAAATTGAAACATGCCATGAGTAACAAAGACAAATGCTCAGACTTTCTGCCATTTTCTTTTCATGTTCATCCCAGACATGAGTAGTTGGTTTATTGCTTCTAACAAAATTACTTTGCCAAGATTGCTATGCACAGAACATAAAATATATGACAACCACTGCACTGGAATTTACATTCTTAGGAATTATTTGCTAGAAAAGATGATGTGCTTGGTTGTAAATGTTCTGTGCATATGCCTAAAGCAAGAAGTAAAGTTTGAAATGTTTATTGTGTGTAATTTAAACCTTTACAGCTCCTTTTGGAGTGTGAATTATGAGCCTGCTTATATTTGCCAAGGCAAATCAGATGCAGATCTCGCTTCCTCTAAAACAGAGCCAGGCATTCCAAAAGCAGGTAAAAGCTAGGAAAGTGTAGACAATAGATTTGTTCTTTGCTTATTATAAAATATGAAGTAAAACTGGCTTGTGACATCCCTAGAATTGCCTTTATGCTAGCTGAAGATCTGTCTTAAAACCTTTGTGCCTTTATCAAATGCACTTGATATTTACAGAATGTCACACCTGAATCTGTGGAAATTTAGAATTTTCTATTTGTCTAGGAAGCTGCACAATACAGCAATATCCAATAGGATAATATTATATTGACCCAACAGATACAATTATTGGGACCCCAGTGTTCCGGATAGCATACAAATACAGACTGAAAGGCCTCTAAGAGCAAATGGGAAAGCTCTTGAGCTCAAAAGCAATATGCAGCTTAGGGATTAAGAGACACAATCAACCAGCCCCTTCCAGTTGGTGCTAGTGCTCCATCTATCTGCAGGATCAGGTTTATCTTCAGGCAGACACAGATTTTAGGGAAGGTCAGTAAAGGCTTTTATTTTTTCATAAATCAGTTTGCCCAGCCCTGAACGTTGCTTTCCCTTTCAAACTGCTGACCTGTACTTAGCTAGCAAGGCTCAAGCCTGAAAGGTGTGGGCCATCAACTAATGCTGACCATACAGAAAACTGCTGATGTACTGGTGCTCGGCACCTTAGCAAATTTATTTTATAATATAATGTAAAAATCTAGAAAAAAGATCTTTAATTCATTAGATATTAGAAATACACTGTGAATTTAAGGACTGTTGGGAAGGTAAAATAAGATTAATAACATATGTACTAAGTGCATTTAATCACAATCGTTGTTTGTATGCTAGCTGGAGATCAGATCTGAAAAGAAATCAAATTACCGTAAGAGACCGTTTGGCTAACAGAACGGTTTTATTACGCACCTACTCAACTAAGAGTGGAGGTGGTTAAGCTGAGTTTGTTGACGTTTTTCATAAACCCTCTCCGATGTTGCTAGACATATTTTAAAAAGCAAACAAACAAATAATGGCTACGCTTGTGAAAATTAAGACAGACATGGAAGTTATGCTGTGCTTCTGTCATATTCCATTTGTGTTATATTACTTACTATCTTCTCTAATGCTTCAACTAACTTTGTGAATTTATTCAGTACCTTGG